TGTCCTCATGTAGTCTGTTCAGAAGTGATAAGACTTGAAGCGTACTCAGTGGGGACCAAAGTCTTTTAATGGATCCAAAAGGTGCATTTCTTTGAAAGGCTTTTCCTTGGTGTGACACTTCCTTGGTGTGCCAGTATGAATCACTGCTCAGGAAAATCATGCAAAGACTCAAAGGGCCTTGAAAATCATTCACTTGTCTGTAGGAGAACTGGTTAGAGTGTTTATGGTTGAGATTTCCCTCATTCATTTGTGGCACTTCCAGTATTGGAGACTCTTCCAGGAGTCTTTTAGCTCCACGTTTCTGTGCCTAACTACCATTATTACTGCAGATATTTTCTGAACATGTAATATGAATGTTCTGTCCTTTAGGCCTATTACTTCCCTCTGCCCCTGGATGTGGATAATAGTGTATTTCTTATTTTTATGAAGATTTTTTTTTAATATTACAGTGTTTGTCAAGAAGCTTGGAGCCTTAGGCTAGAGATGTTGCTCATGCTGTCCCTCTTTCAGGTATCGTGACTTTTTAAGAACTCCCTTCAGAACACTACAGAACTCACTCAATTTTTATGACTAGCTTGATGTCTGAAATACAGATTGTGTCAAGATCGCTCTGCCAGGAAAGATCAGCTAATACACAGGGTTGTGCCACCAATGGGGAAGAATAATATTTTGTTTAATATAATATCTCATTTCTAATGTTTTCATTATTATTTACTTATTTTTAAGATAGAAATTTGTCTTGCTGTTTGTCAACCTGCTTSTCTTCACAGCCTGTGAAGAGTAACAAGGTTAGCTCGCATTAGGCAAAGTCCACTGCTAGACTATTGCTAGAAAACATTTCCTTTTGTTGATCTATACGTAGAATAAATGAAACTGCTATGAAATAGGCATATTTCTGTGTCTGGAAGGATTGCATTTCTCATTCTGCCACCTGAATCAATTGGACACTGAGAATTAACTGCATTCTGGTGGAAGAAAAAATAATGTTGAGTTTGTCCTTATCTGAAGACATAAATGTCCCTTTGTGTAGGATGGCTCTTCAGTTGATTAGATACTGCCTTCTGAGGACTCAAATATTAGTGGCTCTTTGGGGAGAATATCTTTGTTGGAAGTGTTTTTGTTGTGCAGTCTTTGAACCTTTGAACCACATGCCCAAGTGGCGTCCTGTCTAAACTTTTCTTTACCAACTTGTTGCAGGAAAATAAATTTGAAAGGATTAAAGAATTCAAGTTTTTGGAAAATATAGTTTGTCTRTAAGAATATAATGAGTTGAAAGTTCTCAGGTGTTGGAAAGAGTGTTGCTTTCATTATCAAAAGGCATCAAAGGCCTGTATGTTTTAAGATACTGCAAAGACTGAAGATTCACAGGTAACATAGAGCAGGTTTTTATTTAAATGTGTACCACACTCTATAAAGCTGATGCACTGTGATGTAATGTCCTACAGTGTGTCTTACGATAATAGATTGATTTCTTATAGAATATACATTTCTTAATAGAACTATGCTACATATTTATTAACTTAAGCTTGTTCTGGAGAGTTAGGAGTGTGTGTACAGATACAAGTCCTTAGCATTTTATGCTTTTATTTCATACACATGTGTATGGTTTTAGATTGCGAGTTCATTTGGGTTCATGTGTATATATAAGATTAAAAATGACTTTGGTTTTCCAGTAACCTATTGAAGATCCATATAAAAGGTAAAAATCAGTGATTGCTATGTGGTATAGTTCAAGATTTCTACCTAGGGACATACAGGTAACTGTTGAAGGGCTTCCTGCAGCAGAAGATGCAGAAGACACAGTTCATAGCTCCGTGTGTGTGTGTAATTTACAGTCTTTTACAGGCATTTTTTTTCACTCAATAGTTGTTTATGGTTCTTAAAGAAAACAGGCACTTGCTATAAAGAAGTTCAGCTTTTCTGACTCTTCCTGAGAGGTGCTTGACAGAACGTTAATAGAAGGTATCTAATTCATGCATACTACAAGAAGAAAAAGGAAAATGATTCTTACTGTTCAAAATATCCGTTGTACTCTGCAGTTGATTTAACATGTCTTTAATATTTTAGCAAAGAGAGCATCCCTGTTTTTTTTAATACTTTTTGCATGAAACATCAGTATTGTTGAGACTTACATTAAATTAAACTTCTCTTTTTATTTAGGTTTATCAGTTAGATGGTATTCCCTTGATCCTGGACAACTGCAGCATTGATGACAACAATCCTTGTATCCTTTTCAAAAGAGTTCTAATCTACTGAGTATTGAATATGATTCATGCAGATATAGGTATGAATATATCTATGAGCATATGTAAGAATATTTGTGTGTCAGCATTACTTTCTCTTAGTACCGAAGTCCAACTGTCCTCAGGAATTTCTAGCTTGTTTCTAAATGCTTTGGTCAGAGGTGAGTCAGGAGTGAGTGAAGATGCTGGATAATAAATTAATTGATATGTAAGTATATTCTGCTTCATAAGATAATAAAAACTGCTGTTTTACAAATCTCAATGAAGATATTTGAGAGGTTGAGAGCTAATTGTGATTGAAATCTAACTTAAGAGTATATTTGGTCACTGCATTAGATAGTATAGCTTTCACTTCAAGTAGCATCTATACAGCAGACTGAAATAAGTAGGCGATAAATTCGGTATACTACTACATCTGACTGAAAAAACTTGTCCTAAACACAGAGATAGCTGGCAACCCATAATGAAAATACTTTTAAGCAATGTATTTTGATATGTTGATCGATCAGGTTGTTGAAATTGATGCAGGTTGTTGAAATTGATGCAGATTGTTGAAATAGTGAAGAGTTTTTAAAATAAATGATATAGATAGTGCTTCATTTTTTTTCTGCAGTTTAAGARCAATGGCTTTCTTCAGGATGATTTTGATTAGAAGAAAATAATTTTAAATTGCAGATAAATAGTTCAATAGCCTTAAAAGTCTTACCTCTTTCTGAACTGCCCTGGGTGGATTATTACTTCTTGTCAGCTGATTATTAACTCCTTTTAAGGTTCTTGGAAGTGCCTCTGGAAATCAAATGCCATTTCCATCCAGAATGATACCAGCTTGTTTATACAGAGCCCATGAAACATTTTTTTTAATTAAATGGAAAATAAAAGCCCAGTTGTTAAAAAGTAAGAATATTTAAGCWTGTTAAAAAAATGTGAAAATGTTATCTGTTCTCACATCTGCATGCTGTAGTACATCTTCTGCATATAAGTGTAACATAAATTGGATTAATTTAGGGACAAATGGTAACAAGACCTTAAAAAGCAGAGTGGAAGAGTAAGGGACGTTAAGTGTCTTCTAAGTTCCTCTGTTATATGTAAATATGTACGGTTTCTTCTTCGCTGTACCTGTAGTTTGAATCCTAATGACATGTCTTCTGCCAGTGCACCAAGCAGCAACATGGTGCTTCCATGGGCTCTTTCTGATAAGGGGCACTGGCCCATGCGGGGAAGGTTTAGCTTCCCCAAGCAGAAGAGAGAAATCCTAGTACGGAGTTTTGGCACTGAGTTACCCTTCCTTTGCTGTAAAGTGCAGCAATGCAACGACTTTTAAAATCTTCTTAAGGAATAATCATTTTAGCAGTTAGTAAAAGAGAATTAATTTTGAGGTCTCTAAAGGGTAATTTGCAATGCTGAAGGAAATGAAAAAAAAATACCATAGGAGGCTTTACTATATTTTAGGCTATTGCAAAACGTCTTACGCTTTCTGATACAAACTGACATTTTATGGCTGAACTGTAGAATTCTTAGCAGAAGATAACACATCACTTACTTGGTTTTAAAGACTTTCTAAATATAATGAGATTTCTTAATATGAGTTTTCATCGCTAATACATAGCTTACAGTATCAGCTATCTGAAAAAGTAGCATTTGGGAAGCGTGTGGACTAGCATGCTGTGACAAACTGTGCTGTGTCAGCTCTTGGAGCACGCTTTCTGGCTACTGGGTTTATCATTTTGGCCTAGAGCTATTCCTAGCACTATTGTGCTGCATGAAATGAATACTCCCCTGTTTCCCTCCTGCCTCTAACTTTCCTCCTCTGCTGCATTTTCAGCATGTCTCGCCCTGGGAAGCTCAAAGGGTTGACATTCTGTATTAGTCTCTGTTTTTATCCGCTTTGTCGTGCTTCCTGCTGCTTCCAGGCACCACAACTTAACTTCTCGGTAGCATGCGAGTGCCCAGCTCCATTGCATGGGATTTCTCTGAAGATATTTGATCATTTCTTTCCTCCTTAGGCTTGCCCAGTTTGTGTGGAACAAGGCTGTTTTTGTGGTGCACGTAGAACGAAGCAAAACTAGACTAGAAAGGCTACACACTTAGACTTAAAACATGCTAACGTTGTCCACGTTGCAATGTTGTGATTCATAATGAATATATTTGGTATGTTTTCCCTTTTCAAGAAGGATTCATTAATAGGAAGGAGGAAGTACGTAGGCAGCTCTTGAGATAGATGCTGAGAAAGAGTTCCTGACATTCAAATAGGGTCATGCAGCTTGACAAGATGATATAGAATGATGTAGAGAGAAAGTTCAATGTAACCCTTCACCAAGGCTTCCTTCAAGAAGGAATGTCCACACATTTTTCTCTTCATTCTGATTTCTAATGCCTCTTTTAGCAGTTTATGGTTGTGCTTCTCAGATTTCTTCTTGGAGGAAGAGTTTCCACCATACTCCTTTTATTTGAGAACTTCCTAGGTTTCTTGTTAGACGCTCTGTAGATACACATTTTCATTTGGGGTTTATCTATTTTGAAGACATCCGTAAGAGCTCTTTAGGATTTCATTATGGTTTCTACTTAAAATAGAGTTCATATAACTATTTTTGAAATGTCAGTAGCTGATTTCTGCCTCCAGATTCCACATGCAACCTTTTCCAACAGAAAATGTAGTTGTTGTGGTAAGCAATAAAACTTTTTTTGGTGACAGGGTGAGGGGGGAGTTATTTTTTCCTCAAATATGCAGTTCTTTAGAAGATGGGCTGCCATGTTAGGTATTAAGAGCTCTCTGTTCCATTTTGTAGAGGAGAGGTCTTTTGATAAATCATTTTATGGGTAGCATATGGAGAAACGTTGAAAGAGAAGACAGATCTTCTCTTAAATTTCCTAAATAARCTGCTCTTTGTAAACTTGTCATTACCTTAGAATTGCATCCTTTGCGACGTTGAACAGTTTTGTAATGTAGTAGATAGCAGGAGATTCATCTCTTCTAAGCTCTCCAGCTGAAGTTCAACTGAGATTGTTTGCAGTACGCTAACATCTTGAGTTTGAGTCCATTTTGGGAGAACTGTTATTGCATTGTCTAATTGCATCTCAGACAGACTCGAATCTTTAAAATTGGTGTGAACTGATAGTAGTTTTTCCATCAGGARTGTTCATAGGTTAAAACAAATAAACAAACAAAATAAACCAAAAAATCATTAATAGCAGTCATAAAGTTGGTTGTGGTAATTAAATACAAACTTTCTATACCTCTTGCAAAGATTCTTTGAATCTCTGTATTAAATTTTCAACTAATAAAAGGCTTTATGGTTTCAAGTAAGTTTAATGCAGTAATGCTGATAGGTAACAGTTGAAAACCTGGTATCTATCAGGCTTTTAGCACAGGGGAAAAGGTAAATGGAGAGGGACCAGGGAGATATGGTTCATTATAGGTCTTGTGGTCTGAAGACCTAAACTTCAAAGAAGGGTTGAATGTGACTTTAATTTTTTCAATACTCTGAAAATGTACCATCTTGGATTCACTGCATCCCAATCATAACTTTGTATGGGACTCCAAAAGAAGAAAAAAAGAAAAAGATGTTTCAAAAGGCTCTTTCCTCTGTTTCCTCTAGGAACTTTTTTTTTAATGTAACGACTGTTAGTTAATAATAAAATTTGTAACTTTTTTCAGATCTGTAATTTCTATAATTTCTTATACAGATATACAGTTTATTTCAGATCTGATTTTAATGTAAATTCTATTATTCAACTTTGCTTCCAAAATAAGAAATACTGTTTTGAAGATAGGATAGTCTTGTTTTTCAGTATGCAGACTTTCTGTTCTGCATTCATTTGGACAGACTTAAGAGATTCTCCTGCTGTGCTTATTGAGAAATTATTTCTGTGATTTTCTGAATTTAACTCAACTCAAATTGACTTTTATATAAGTGTCTCTATTATTTATACTCTAATTTGGCGTGTATCTGTTAGCCAAAAGTGGAGTGCTACTAGAAGAAAAAAGACTGCTGTGTAGTATGTACATGTACACACATATTCTTTAAAAAGTAGCCAGCTGTGTGATTATTCATGTTTTGATATACTTACATATCAGTTTGTGTGTATAAATATGTATTAAAAACAGCAATAACTGCAGAGCTGGCTACTTTTTAGGAGTAAGAATTAGCATTAGCAAAAGAAAAACTTGTTCTGGATCTGCACACATAGATCTTTAGTTAGAATAATGGATAGAATATATATACATAGAAAATATAAGTTAATTTTACAGATACTCCATCCTTAGTCTTCTTCTATTTTATTCAGTCCGGAAGTCATCTAAGAGGTAGATTGAAAACACTTTTGACTCATGGCAGCTGCAAGTGTAATTGTGGTTCATGAAACTCCTGGCTAAAGCTAGGAGGAATCAAGCTGCTATGGCCTACGACAATGGCAGTTTGTTTTTGTGAGATGCCAGAAAAGACTTTGGGGGGAACTGACAGGCATTTTATTCCTAAGTTACAGAATGCAACCTAAAAGAGGCCACATACTGTGAAAAAGCCTCACGGCTGAATAGAAGCCAGTGGAGAGAAAAAGCAGGAGTGTGATATGGCCTTTTAGAGTGAGCTACTGAGCTGGTGTATCTCATGTACATGTGCTGCTCTCTTGTATGTTATGTCTCGCATATCTTGTATGTAATGTCGTTTCAATGGATATGGTCAGCGGAGTGGTGAAAACGRTAGTGAGTTCTCCATACCCAGTCAAGATCTGCTCACTTAGAAGACATTGTCCTTTTCCTCATCCCATGGAGTTCTGCCTTGCTCTGTGAGCAAGTCCGAAGTCTACCTCAGCTAAATAGAATCATAGAATCATTATGTTTGGAAAAGACCTTCAAGACCAGGGAGTCCGTCCATAAACCCAGCACCACCATCAGGGCTAAACCRTGTCTCTAAGTGCCTCATCTGCACGTTTCTTGAACCCTAGCAGGATCTGTGACTCAACCACTTCCCTGGGCAGCCTGTTC